GTTGTTAGCATCAGATCCCCTGGAACTGGAGTTACAGACAGTTGTTAGCTGCCATGTGAATGCTGGGATTTGAATCCAGGTCTTCTGCAAGAACAGTCAGTGTTCTTAACTACTGAGCCATCTCTCCAGCCCCAAGAACCTACCAGGTTTTTAAATGCTCAGGAGGCAGTAAACAGAGGGAAGAGAGGACAGAAATTCAAAATGAAAAATGTACTATCTTTTTTTCTCCCAAATGGTGTCCTGGCCACTGATATCTCAATTTGCTGATTTGGATGGATAAACTGGTATGCTAGAGTCTAAATATGCATGACACAAAAGGAACCCATAAGGACCTCACTCCATCTAAGCATGGATTGTATATATGTCCTACTGCCAGAAGCCCTTGTTGGAAAAGGCACTTCTTTTTCTCCAAGTGAGAAAAGTTACCAAAGTATGTACTTCAAACAAAACCAATTTATAAGTTCCACTTTCCATTTAGAAGCTGCTTCAGGCTGTGTACACTGGTACACACCGATCTTCTGATTTGAATGTGAAATGCCCCCAAAGGTCAGATGCTGGAACACTTTGCCCTGGCTGTTTGGGAAGGTGATGGAACCTTCAGGAGGAGCCTCACCTGAGGAGGAAGTACATCACTGGAGGTGGGCTGTGAGACCTCATGTCCCATCAGTCTTGCTTCCTAACTGCTGATGCAGTGTAACCCGCTGCCTGGGGCTCCTGCTCTCAGTCCTCTGCCACAGTGGGCTGTCCTTGGAATTCTAAGTAGGAATGAGCTCCTTCTCCCTGAGTCACTTTGGCCAGGAATTTTGCTGCAGCACATGTAAAGTAACTAAGACAGAAATTGGGAGGAGGGCTGCATACAGAGGGGCCGTTGCTGTGACTGCACGACCATGTGGTTTGCAGGCTCACAGGAGGAATGTGTTTATACCGGAATGCTAAGGAAGCCCTACAATGCTCTAAGCAGAGCTTAATGGGCCATTCTAATGGAGGTCTGGAAGAGCAGAACACAGAAAGAAATGCAGCAAACGGAGGCCAGGCTCGTCAAGTTTCAGAGGAGTACAAGGACTTGATGGGAAACTGGGCTAGAAGCCATCCAGGGTACTTTCCGACAAAGAATCTGGCCACATTCTGCCTGTCCTAAGAACTTGCCTGAGGCTGAATTAAAATGTGATGGACTGGTGTCTCTAGAAGAAATTTCAAGACAGCATAGCATTGCTTCTGCACCACGGCTCCTGGCCAGTGCTCTATTCAGCACTGTGCGAGAACAAAAACAGGAAAAGTGGCAAGTTTGATGGGAAAGGGTGAGCAGGCAAGCTTACAAACCAGCTGTAACAGTCACAGAGATGAGCGCCACTAAAGAGAACACTCCTGCTCTATCCCGGGACAGTGAGAAAGTGCAGAGAGCAGGAAGCCGCACGGAAGGGCTCCAGCTCCTGAAACTGCAAATTCATTTCAAAGAGCCTAAGTTTAGAATGCGAAGTTTCCTGGTCCTAGAAACTGCCTAGGGAAGTTTTTCCCCAATATCAGCACATGGGCTACAACATATAAACCTACAGAGGTCTTGGGGCCAGGCTCTATACAGAGGTAGCAGTAGACACTGGCAGTGGCAACCATGTGCTGCAAATTTTGGAGGAATAAAAGGTGGAGGATGAGGTCATGGATTCTCGCTCCACAGTTCTAAAGAGCCAGAGAGCAAGCAATGGGAGGCAGGGCCGGAGCCCCCGCAAGGAAGTCCTGAGAGGCCACTGTGTGAAGCTGTAAAGGGGAGGCTGGGGCTGTGGTGGTGACCTCAAGATATGGGGAATGCCAGAGCCGTGGGATGTTGGCACACAGGAAGAGGAGCCAGTGCAAGAAAGCAGCTGTGTGTGGCAGGCAGCAAAGCTGGAGAGGTGGGGTTATCTCCTTCCTTTGGAACTGACCTGATTCCAGTCTGTGCCCTACATGCCAGACATGGAGCTGTGGATGTGGTGTTCACCCTGCTGCATTTGGATCTTGCTTTGGTCCCGTGTTTTCTCACTCTGTCCCCATTTCTCCCCTAGGGAAGGGAATGCATACTCTGTGTCACTGTATGTTGGAAGTATGTGGGGTCTTTTATTTTTTATTTTACAGGAGGTCAAAATTAAGAAATTGCTTTGAATCTCAGAAAAGATTTTGGGCTTTTGAAGTTGAACTGTATGCATCTTACATCAAGAGCTGACCATGAACCTATGGACACCAGCGGTAAAATGTGGTTTGAAAGTGAACTGTCCCCACAGGCTCATGTGTTTGAGCACTTGGTCTCCAGCTGGTGGTGCTGTTTGGGAAAGTCCTGGAACCTTTAGGAGATGGAGCCTCCTCGGAGGAAGTGGGTCACTGGGGGCGGGCCATGAGGCTTACAGCTCAGCCCCACTTCCTACTCGTGTTCTACTTCCTGACTGTAATGTGGCTGCAGTGTAACCTGCTGGCCCCGCTCCTGTGGCTGGACATCTGCCCACCATGATGAACCGTACCCCCTGGAACTACAAGCAGAAATAAACCCTCTCTCTCCAGTTGCTTTTGTCAGGTACTTTGTCTTAGTGACTTATAAGACAGCCTGTAACCCTAGCACTTGGGAGGTTGAGGCCGGAAGGAAGATCAGGAGTTCAAGGTCACCTTCAGCTACATAGTGTCTTCTAGGCTTAGGCTGGCCTTCAAGAGAACCCCACTCAAAAAAAGTTATTTAAAAATCTAAGCAAGTAATTCTAAGGATGCTTTTAGAACCCCTCTCCTAATAATACTTCTTGCCATCTTTGGTCTATGCAGACCCTCTGCAGCTTCCCTGGTTTTGTTCTATTTTCCTTCAACGCACACAGGATTTCAACAGACCCTGTGAATACAGGCTCCTAGGTAGAGTGGCCTCCAAACACTAGCAGCTTAATCGTCTGGAGACCTTTGGAAAAGATAATAATAAAAGCTACTTTTCCTTGCAGCTAGAGAGATGGCTCAGAAGTTAAGAGCACTGGCTGCTCTTGCAGAGCACCTAGGTGGCGGCTAACAACCATCTATAAATCCAGTTCCAGGGGATTCGATTCCTTCTTCTGACCTCCGAGGGCATTGCACAACAGGGGTACACTTACACACATGCAGGCAAAACACTCACACATATAAAATAAAAATGAATAAATCTTTTATAAAAAAAAAAAGCAACAAACTTATTCTTCCTTCTTCCCAAGAAGTAGCTATGATGAGACCACGGGAGATGATACTACCTGACTGGCCCCAATGTGGAAAGACTCAGAAGGGGGCAGCCTTCTGTCCAGTCAGCCTATTGGCTGGGCCACATTAAGGATTTCTGGTTCATTTTCTACCTGGCATGCACTTCTGTTGAAGGGAATGTACCTGGGACGAGGAGACGGGCATCCTGAGTGGCCCAATGCACGTCGGGCACAGCTGGTCCTCACACTAGTCAGCTCCCTAGACACTGTGCCAAGGGGAATACTCAGAGAGGAAATTCAGGTTTTCTCCCCGTTTCATGATCTTTCTGGGTATAGAATACAAACTGTAGCTAGATAAAGAGACTGAGTAAGGCAGATTCTGACAAGCTCACAGGTCAACAGATGAGGGCTGGTACAGTACACCAAATGTGGGTTCCCTCATAAAGAACAAGGGGGCCTTGCAGATGTGATGAAGATTAGGATGCTAACAGGAGAGTTTTTAGATTATCTGGTAAATCAAATTACAAGTGCTATTATAAGGGCACGGACAGGGAACCGTGCTGCACACAAAAGAGAATGTGATATGAAGAACATGGCAGAGCTAAGAGTGATGCAGCTCCAAGCCAGGGAATGCTGGCAACCCCAGGAGCAGGAAGAGGAAAGGACTGCATCCTCATGCAGGCCTCCAAAAGAAACGTGGCTGAAAGCCTGGTGTGGCAGTGCACACCTTTGATCCCAGCTCTCGTGAGGCAGAGCCAGGTGGATCTCTGTGAGATGGAGGCTAGTGAGTTCCAGGCCAGCTTGGGCTACAGGGAGACCCTATATTTAAAAAAGACCACAAAAACATGGATGAATTGACACCCTGATTTCAGTCAGTAACAACAATTTTGGACTTCTGGCCTCTGGAGCGCTGAACAAATTTCTGTTGTTTGAAGTCCCTACGTTTATGTTAACGTGTTATATCACTTTCAAATGAAGATAGCTGCCTACGTTCTATAGGCTAGATTCTGGAGATACAAGAACATTTTAAAATTAGAGCTGATTCTCTCTGAGAAGAAATTACTGTTTCTGTTTTTGTGTTTTTCTTCACGGTGCTGAGGGACAAACCCGGGCACTGAACATGCTGGGCAAGCTTTGTATCAGCAAGTTCTCTCCTTTGCCCAAATTCACTTTATTTTCAGGTTCAAATTCTATCCGCAGACAGCGTCATCAAACTTTTAGTGCTATTCCTACCCATCAAGTATAAGTTCTCAGGAGTGGTCACGGGAATATTGACAAGCTTAACGTCATCGTCCTCTGCTTTGTCCCAGGAATTTGAATTGCCGCAAGCACAGCTGTGGCAGGAATTAACGCTCTGGACCTGAAACCAAGACGGACAAGAGTTACTTCACCATCTCTGGGACAAGACATTACGCGTTTATTATTTTATTTATTTAATTTATTTATTTATTTATTTATTTAATATATTGAGTCTCCTGTAGCCCAGGCTGACCTCAAACTCACTCATAGCTGAGGATAACCTTGAATTTCTTAGCTTCTTGCCTCTGTCTCCCAAGTACTGGGAATTAAAGGCATGTGCCACCATGCCTGGTTTTTAGGCAGTGCAGGGATCATGCTAGCTACATAAGCACTCTACTGCCTGAGCTATGTTCCCAGCCTGCAATGATATTTTATATTTACCAATTGTTTATTTAAATCCTATAACTTACAGTCTAAGTAACTTCTACCTCAAGAAATAATTTGGATTATACTCAATCAAACTTAGGACTCATGTGACTCTAAATATTCTGACACTGTTTGCTCAAAAATACACAAGTAGAACAATATTTTGAACCCAAATCATTTTTTTTTTTCCAGTCTTTTTGAGACAAGGTCTCCCTGTAGCCACAGCTGGCCTGGCACTCACTATGTAGACCAGGGTGGCCTTGAACTGACAGAGATCCACCTGCCTCTGCCTCCTGGGTGCTGGGACTAAAGGCGTACACCACTACGCCAGGCACAAATCAGTTATTTATGCACACAACAAAAATCAGGTGGCTATTTTATAAATCTTTACTGTGTTAAATACTTATAAATTTCACCTATACAAACTGTAAAGACAATCAGACTACTTCCCTTTCAGAACATGACAATGGTAAACGCGTGGAGATGCACTGCCACTGCCCATGCCCCTTCCCATCGCTTAAAGCACTGCCAGACACTCCATGCAGATGACCCAGATCCCCAAGTCTAGCTCTGTTCTCCATAGAGAAATTGAGACCCAAGTTGTCACATGCCTGTTGGTGACTGCCTGGCTCTCCTGCTGGCATCAGAAGCTGCTATCACAAATGCAACACAATGCCTTTCCACGATGAAATCCTTCCTTCTCCCAGGTTTGTCAGGAGTACTTCCATCCCATAATTCCCAAACCAAAAAACTACGGAATCATTTTCATACACATCTCTTCCCATGCCCCTGGGGTCCGTTTTGTGGACCGAGTTCCCTCTTTTCTGCCCCTGTGCTGTGACCCTACTTTAAGCACTCACACCCTGCTGTCTAAACCTCACAGGGCCTCGCAGCCCTGGGGAAGGACAAGGCTGGCTGAAGCCAGCAAAGACATGATGACTTCAGTTAAGAGCAGCTTTAATCTTCCATTGAAAAAATGCCTCTGTTGGTAAAGAAGTCCAGGTTATGGGGCTGGAGAGAAGGCTCAGCGGTTAAGAGCACTACTGGCTGCTCTTACAGAAAGACCCAGGTTCGGTTTCCAGCACCCACACAGCTAATGACCATCCATAGCTCCAGTTCCAGGGGATCCGATGCCCTCTTCTGGCTTCTATGGGCACTGTACACGAGATGCATTTACATACATGCAGGCAAACCATTCATTCACTATCACCAGAGAAGCTCCCTTCTTAACCCAGAAACCCACAACTGGTCAACATGCAGAAAATAAGAGACTTCAGAGTGATTATCCTTGAGCTGGAAACCTGTATCAAACTTCTGCCTCCCAAGGCTCTGGGATCATTTCAGAAGAGGGAGCAGAAATATTGTAAGAGCCAGAGGAGGTGGATGCTCACAAGCAAACGAGAGTTATCTAGACAGCTGGTCAGTTACTCATAAAACACACAGCAATGGTTGACAGCATGGGCGAGTCCCACATAAGCTCAAGTCAGACAGAATCCCAGCACTGACATGGGGAAGTGGGTGAGAGACCTCAGCCCAACCTGAGGAACTACTGGCAACCAAGGAGTGCTGGGAGGGGAGAGTCGGTCTCTTTTAAGGGTGAGACTCTGTAGTTAAACAGGGTCCAGGGGATGGACTCACACTGAAGGGCATTTGGGAACACAACTTTGACCCTCTCTCTCTCTCTCTCTCTCTCGTTATTTCTCTCCATATTATTATAAAATGGAGTACATGGAATTGGGCAAGGGTATTAAGAGAGAACAGATAGGAGAGAGAATCTAAATATGATCAAAATATTGCATGAAATTTGCAAAAATTCAATAAAAGAGAAAAAATCTTTGGCATAGTAATTATTAGATACAACAATTTTTATTTATAATTACGTATTTCTAGTTGCATTTGTGATGAATACTTTACATCACTTCTGTTTTCTAATATTTAGTATAATCCTTCTGTGAATGAGCTTGATCCATTTCTGTAATCTACCACTAGCATATGTGAATGGCGCCATCTTCTATTTGTAGTGCAAAACTTGTTTGTTTCCTTGACTCTAAGGCTAATCACGAGACAAACCATTGATTTAACAACAGTGTTTTCTTTCAAGAAGAATAAACAACACTATGTTAAATTTTAAAATATAAAATAAAATAAAAAGCCTAGATTATAGGGGCTGGAGAGATGGCTTAGCAGTTAAGAACACTGGCTGCTCTTGCAGAAGACCCAGGTTTGAATCCCAGCACCCACATGGCAGCTAACAACTGTCTGTAACTCCAGTTCCAAGGGATCCGACAGTCTCTTCTGACCTCCGCGGGCACTGCATGACACGGGTGCACTTACCTACATGCAGGCAATACACACATAAACATAAAATAAAGATAATAAAATATTTTTTAAAAAAGAAGCCTGGATTATAGAAGAGGTACAGACTTCATTATCTTGCTGGTTCACAGAACTGAAAGTCTATAGGCCTCCCATCTCGATGTCCCCACCCTGGCAAAGGTCTTCAAAGTTAGTCCATTTCTGTTGAGCACGAAGACAGACTATGAAGAGCAGTTGTGGCTACTTAAGAGGCCGAGGGAACAGAACACTGCAGCCCAGGAGTCCAGGGCAGCTGTGCAACATAATGAGACCCACTGTCCCAAGAGTTGGATTACAGACATGAGCCACCACACTGCCAAGGACGAAGTTTGTGACCAAGGACAAAGTAGTCCCACATCTAATTTTGAAATAGCACCTCCACATCAAGGCTAATCTCACAGGACCCAACGGACTGCAGCACTTACTCTGTGAAACCTGAAGCTATCAGGAATAGCAGAGACTCAACCAGACTGTCTGTTTGTTCTGCATTAAGAGCAGCAAGGGTGTGCTCTTAGGCTAACAGATATGGAAGTGAACTAAGAAAAATAATAATAAATCATTTTCTCTTACAGAGGCCAAACTCTGGGCAGAACCTGAGTATTTACTGAAGAGTCCTCCATTGGCGTAGTTACAAGACTGAGATCCCTTGTCTTTGGTGGAACTTAATGATAGTGTCAAATTCTGTCTACTACTGGAACAACTTGAACCTGTTAAACAAACATCAAGAGTATCAGTAACTCCAGCAATAACCTCAGGTACAATTTCAAGTTTACGTTGTAGCCACTCAGAAAGCTTCTGAGCTTGTAAGACATACTTTACCAACCTGTATAAATAATTAAATGTGAAACATTGAAAGACACACTTCTAATGTTTTTAACGCTGCCACCACCTGCTTGTGCAACAAAAAGTAAGACATTAGGTTAATTAGTGCAGACAGTTTTGAATGGCTTGTGGTGATCAGTGTGAAAATATCGGCAACTATGAACATTCAAATTGTGCCTGTGACAAAACATGAGGCATCCTTCCCTGAGGACACTTACAGTGTCCCTACACTGTGTGGCACAGGACTTCGCTCCGTGCATGCCTCCTGCGTCCTCCATCTACATGCTTGTCTAGCAGAGCGGGTGGTGGGTCTGTTTTTCTCGGCACAGGAGTTAAGATACCTCTGGTGTCATCCTGGTACATGTGAGTTATATGACCTTGGGGAACTTACTTGTACTTTATATTTTTAATACATGGAATTGTAGTCATAATTCATAAGACTGCTGGAGAAGTTAAATAAAGCAGAAGTTAAATAAAGCTTAACTGAGTCCTAATGAAATCCCAGTAAATAAAAAATAGTGACTCATTATGTGCGCAGCACAAATAAACCACAAAACCCTAAGACACACACTAAAACAAATACTAAAACCTGGCCTGATTTCTGCCACACCTGGCTTCCCACGTACCTTTATCCGATGCTGCTCTTTTAGTATATTCAAGGATGAGATGCTCTGGTTCCCATGGTAACAGTTTTCTTTTCTTTTTTCCACGTCTTCTTTTAAAATGATGGGCCAGAAAAATTACAGATATAGCACTCACAGCAGTTACCACAAACAACTTTTTAGCTACTGGTGAAAATTTGATCTGGAAAATATATAGTTTGAAAAAAAATCTTGTATTTGTTCAGTAAACGTAAAAATAAGAACAAAACTTAATCTTACCTATTTATACATATTGTGAAGAGACTATAATTTTACTTTCAGCCAGTCTATTTTTTAAAATTTTTTAATTTATTATTTTTATTTTATGTGTATGCATGTATTGCCTGCATGTAGGTAAGTGCACCCGTGTCGTGCAATGCCTGCAGAGGACAGAAGAGGCTGTAGGATCCCCTGGAACTGGAATTGC